TAGAATAAAAAGTAAATTTACCTACAAATGTACTTATAGTATAAAATCTTTATATTAATAAAATTACTTCTACTTATCTACAGGAGAGAAACAGTCTAATTAATCAATAACTATAAATGAAAAGATATGCTATATAAACTACTGCTATTTCAAAATTTCTGGAGGATGAGATGAGGACAAGCTCGTTCTTATTTATTTATTTTTTTTTGTGGTACGCGGGCCTCTCACTGTTGTGGCCCTTCCATTGCGGAGCACAGGCTCCGGACGCACAGGCTCAGCGGTCATGGCTCACGGGCCCAGCCGCTCCGCGGCATGTGGGATCTTCCTGGACCGGGGTATGAACCCGTGTCCTCTGCATCGGCAGGCGGACTCTCAACTACTGCGCCACCAGGGAAGCCCAAGCTCGTTCTTTTAATCCTGATGTGATCAAGGATATAGCTGGAAGATGACAGCAAATTAAGTATTGTGGCTTAGAACACAGTGGAGAATGAAAGAAATCAAAGTTCTCCAAACTCTCTCACACTTGGGCAGAAACACTTTCAGTTCCTGTGGAGGAAACAAGTTTGACTTCTAGAAAGACCTCGAGGGGATGTGATGGTGCTGGATAAAGGCCAGGAACAGAGCATTCCCGTTCCAGAATTTTGCTGCCTTTCTCCCTCCTCCAAATCACATTTTTGTTTGGGAAATATGTCATCATCTTCCCCTACCCAGACACAAGCCACTTAACATTGCACACGTCTCAGCAGACTTATAAATGTCTAGAAACAAACCCTCACCCCAGAAGTGCTTCTCATGTAGGTCATTGTGTCTCATCTTTGATCCCAGCTGGCCCTCCTCACTTAAACTGAGACACTGGTCTGGCTTTGGTCACTGAGAGGCACAGTCAGTGCTCAGCGGGTCTGGACAAAGCTACATGTTCTATAAAGAACTATGGATACACTACTACATATAAAATAGATACCTAATAAGAACCAACTGTATAGCACAGGGAACTCTACTCAACACTTTGTAATGACCTATATGGGAAAAGAATCTAAAAAACAGTGGATATGTGTATATGTATAACTGACTCACTTTGCTGTACACCTGAAACTAACACAACATTGTAAATCAACTATACACCAATTTGAAAAAGAATTTAAATTAATAAAATCACTTTACAAAGAAAAAAAACAACAACTGTGCAATGATCAGAATTGCTACTGGAGGGCAGAGTGACTCCATGCAGATTGCAAGAGCCAGCATGGCTGGCAGAAACAACTCATGCTTCTGAAGAGGTATGTCACATCAGCTCCAGGTCACTGGGCCCTTGACCTTCGGGGCCGAATGAGGAGGGACACCTGGTGGGATGGGCATTGGGGCCTATGCTTGAGGAAGGCTGATGAGGCCTATGAGTGAGACATCAGGGCGAGTCGCAGAATGAAGCAATCAAAAGGGACAGGACTCTTGTTCCTGAAATCAAGGACAGGCTGAGAGGGCAGGACCTGGAGGAATGGAATGAACAAGTGGAGTTCGGGCCGGAAGCACAACAGAGCTGAGGAATGCTGTAGGCGGGTGACGATGGGACAGTGGGAACAGGCAAGGGTCGGGACAGCCCGGCCAGGGAGGGAAGAGGCTACTTGTTAATTCTTTATTTATCTCTCCACCTCCTCTCCTTCCCACAAGGCATTGGAGGTAGTGGAATGGAGAAGAACAGAAAAGAGGAGACAAAAGAAACATGGAGACAGGAAGAAAGAATTAAATGGAAAGTAAAAAATAATGAGAAAGGATAGCAAAGTGATGCTTCTGTGGCTTTGAGGAGGAGCTATGGGCCAATGAGAGAAGAGGATGAGAAAACATCTAGACGAGGCCAGACAGGAGGAGAGGCAGAAGCTGGAAATGATAAAACGGAAGACTGAGGAGCCAACAGTCCCACCGGCCTTTGCTGAAAGTAACTGAGCTGTACATGCCTCTGAAGGTCATCTGGGTGCCTCTCCTTTTCCAGATGAGGAGATGGGGGTGCGGGGGAGGCAGTAACTCAATATCCTCAGCTTACGATGCCTAAAGATACAGCAACGAACTGTAAGTGAGCTTTAAAATGAACACGTTGAATGTCCATCCAAGTGACGCTGCCCTTCAGATCAGTCTCTGCGTTGCAGCTCCTTATACTGACACCTGCCTAATACAGTCAAGTTAACAAATGAGCTGTGGCTGATACTGCTCAAACCATCTGTACCCAGTAAGGAAACACACAAGGAAAAGACAAACTAATGAGTATGGAGAAACACTGCTTTACATCTCAAGCGGATTACCTGTGCTGCTCACCAGACATGACCCCAGTGCCTTTGACTCCAAAAAGAAAAAAAAATCCACCCTCGAGTGACGACGATGGGCTTTCCACTTTGAAAAGAATGGGTTCTAGCATCTAACAATGACCCCAAAATAGATGCAGTGGAAATATTCTGAGCAATGACAACATCTTTGGAACATGTGCTCAGGCTTTTGAGGTGATTTCTTTGAAGGTGAAACACCCTAAGTTTTGGTGTGGTTGTGAAAAAAAAAATCAGTCACAATATTCTATTCTCAACGCTCCTATGTAACCTTCTGTGGAAAAAAGAGAAGCCCCTGATCTCTCCAAATCTGCTCTCAAGGGTGGAGATGGGTAAAGAGTGAAAAGGACAGGGGAAGCTTTTCTTCTACCCATGTCTACTCCCAGGCGGGCTACCATCAGCATGACGACAGAGTGGCTTGCGGGGAAGACCCAGCTCCACTGACCTGCCTTCTCCAAGGTGAGCAAGGTACTGGGAGTGCAGGGCTCAGGGAAGGTGCTCTCTTCCTCCTGGAGATGCTTGCTGTACTTGAGCAGTTAACCAGCCCACCGAGACCCTACTCATGCTGAGAGGCACCCAGCCCACTGAGACACCCCTACTCATGCTGAGAGGCACCAAGCATTGAGTAGGAAAAGGAAAAGATGTCTTAGAACTAAAGCTGTAAGGAATCTATTGTTATTCTCTGATGCTTGCGGTAGAACACGAGAGGCTAAGACAAAAAGAGGAGTGAAATGCAAATCAGTGACTGTGGGGTTGACCTCTTTGAGCGTTTGGGGACTCAGAGGAAACGAAACGCCTTATCTCTTCTTTTGGCCTGTCCCTTCGGCACTTCTCCTTTCAGTAAAGATATGGGGTTCAAAAAGAAACTAGTGGCTTTTTGAATAAAATACGAAACTAGTCAAGCATTTGTTCATTCAGCGAATTAATATTCATGAGGTGCCTTTTACAATATATGGCAGGTGCCGCTGTGCAAGGTGCTAGATATAATTGTAGCTACTTATTTTCATCGAGAATCTGTTCCATAATCCAGAATTTCATCTAAGCAAACTACATAAACTACATGTTATGTGTACTTTGGGATCTGATTTCTAAATCATTGCTAGATAGCTCTTCTGAATAAGAGTGCTCTACAAAGCAAAAGCTCCCTTTGCAATCCCTTCTCTAACCTTCCCCAGTTCCCACCTCTTATTGCACTAACTCACAAATACACACTCACTGGGGCGTGCACACACAAGCATGAAATCCACGTGGGCTTGGTGTCATAAACTGTATACCTCTTGCATAAATTCACAACCGACCGTGTTTACTTTTCTATCATCAATTATAACTTGTTTTTGTCTAAACTAAAAGCTTCAGCTTCCTTAGTTTATTATATCACCAGTGAGTACAATTAAGAGATAGGGCTTCCACGTCTCGTAGCGTCTTTTCCAGTTAATGAGGTGCATGGACTTATAGATTCATTCATGCAAACTTTTGTAACTCACATGCTTATGTGACCACAACCAGATTTACAACTACACTAAAGATTCTCCCAGGACACCCTTTTTTCGTGTGTGTGAGACCACAGGAATTTCGATAGTTTTTCATGACAGGGCTGATGAATCTGATGGCTATGACCTATCTGAGTCCCACATTGATATTCAGTGTCTGCTCCTCTACGCTAATGTAGTGGAGCCGGGATCTATTCGCCAATGTCAATTTGTATTATAGGTGTGGTTACTGCATGGACAAGCTCTGTTAAAAAAGAGAAAGATTGCAAAGTTGGCTTCATCTCAAACGTCTGTGTCTGATTCACAGACATCTGTGTCTCCCTGAGAAATAACGTTTTTCACAACCAGAGCTGTCCAACAGAGAAATAAGCCACTTCCTATGGGAGTCAACTCCCCCTAATGAGAAGCAGTCAGGCTGTGGGGAAGGCGTCCCAGCACTGGATGGGGAGGTGGAGGCTGCCTAAGGTTTGAGGATGCTACATTTATGATGGAGGTAGCCTTCGGTCACATATGCTTACTGTAAAATGACACCCAGTGTGGGTCTGCTGTTTCATAGTGAGCTCTTTGGAGAAGCAGGGCTTTGGTTGTGTTCCAAAGTAGGATCCAATCAATAGAAGACGTTTGTGTTGGCCTTTACAACAAGCATCTAATAGATGGAACCAACTCGAAGGCTCAGGTCATGTGGTCGAGCTACAGAGCAGAGAATGGTGGGCTGGCAGCCCAGAGCAAGTCCGAATGGTATATTTAGACCCTTTGGACGGAAAGATGCCCACACTGTCAGCTATCATTACTTAACCAACTGCTGAGCAGCTCTTGGCCCTTGGACTCGTCTCCACCCTTCTTGTGCCCCATATCAACTCTGCGTACAGCACGTTGACCTGGAGGAAAGGGTCATTCTCTAGCTCTGCTTGCTGTCTTTCCTCTGGAGGAGATCAAGGTCAATGCTGAGCGTGAGGAGAACACCAGGCTCTCTATGTAGGATTTTAAGAGCACAGGTCTGGGGCCCTGTTTAGAAAAGCAGGGAGCAAAGAAAAGCAAATCCTCCTCTAAAAATACGCTTTTGCCCAGAACTGCTTCTAAGTTAGGGGAATTTCCTGCAGCCTAGGAGAGCCAGAGTGAGCGTTCTTCTCAAGTACAGTGATTTGGTGAAGTCCATGTGTGATGATACCACTGTAACCACAGAGGAATTTACCACAGGAAGTGTCCCAGCTGTTGCTTATTAGCATTAGAACAAATTACACAAAGCAAATTGTTAGCAGACATGTTTCCATAATATTTAACTGGTGGCAATAAATAAGAACGATTCTCTTTCAAGTAAATGCTAGATTTCCAAAAATCCAGCTTCCAATTGTCCATGAAGGAATCGTCTTCGATTAGGATAATGGTTGGAGGGAAGGGCACGCTGGAAGCTGAGGCTCCCAGCCCTCTTCCCGGGGCAGCACGGCCGGGAGTCCTGTGAAAGTAGCCGCTGGGGTGACATCACAAGATGGGAACAGGACTCTTTGTACCTCTAGACGGCAGACCATCTGCTGGGCTCACCGCTGGACTTCTCAACATGGTCATCTAATGCCATGGGGAACACGGCACGTGGCAAGACCACAGCAGAGCAGGGCGGCTACCTAGTTCCTGGAGTGAGTTTGTAACAAAAAATAAACCAAGACCACGGACAGGTGTTCATCCCTCTCCTTAACAACATATTGCAGTTTTGAGAAATCATCTCCTCCTTCCCAATTGCCTGTCTTGTTATCTGAGGTTTAAGGAAAAAAACGTGAGTCCCATCTCCTCCTCCTCCTCCTCCTCTTAAACCATTGGAGAAGAGTTGAAAAAGCACCGGATCAGAGCAAATGTCATACAGCACTCACCTCCCACTCACACGTATGGAAACCTGGCTAGTTCCTTAGAAAGCAGAGTATCTCCATCTTTCAAGACCTTCTGACAATGACTAAATTCAAGTCCCTGGTCACTTCTGGGCACTTCCAATCATCTTCAGAGCCATGACAAAATTCTCCTAAAACAATCTCAGAAAGTAATAAAAAACATACTTTTAATTTAAATAAAATAAGAAATCTTCCGTACAGCACATAAATACAAAAATAGGTTACTGTAGCTTAAAGGGTTGGGCCTGTTAGAAGAGGTGCTCTCTTATCGTCTTCCTAGGACAGTTATTTTTGTCTTCCCTTCTTTACTGTTTCCTTCTCACGTAGTATTCCTCCCCAGTGTATTTTAATATCCTATTTGGTTTTCCTGAGGAGCTCCCCACTCCTTTCTCCTGCTGTAAAGGAAAATACGAGGCAGCCCTGCCGAAGGGAAATGATGGAAGCGCTGGTGGGCACTAAACCAGCCCACTGGGCTCCCAGGCGAGGCCTGTCCCCTTAGTCACACGGAGCAGAGCCTGGGCTGGCTTGGTGAGTCCAGTTAGCACCTGACCTAGGCAGGCCCAGAACCCCAGCACTGTCCCCCAGCTGCCTCCAGGGCACACCCTGTTGGTGTTAGAGGGGATACTTGGCAGTAACAGCTTAGAGAGTTCTGCCTCAGGGCTACAAAGCTGGGAAGGCATTTGAAACCGAGCAAATGCAAAAGCTGATACACTCCCAGCCACTTTCAAAGGCTCTTCCCACTACAGTGTCAGGAAACACACACACACACACACACACACAGAGACGAAATGCACTTCTTTTACCTGAAGTCTTTACAAAGGGAATAATGTGCCTCATAAAATATTTTAAATGCCTTAGGCAATAGAACTTGTCTCTAGATTTTTTTTTTTAAGTGTTTAACAGACAAGTGTAATTGGAAATGTTTGGAACATGAACACACATACACACACACTAATTTGAAATTATGCAAAACTATATCATTGTTTACCACAACCTGGAGCAAATCTACTGCCGTGGAATAACAAGTAACACATCTGTACAAGTTCAAGGGCCCCCAAATAAGCTCCCATTCAGATGAGAATGACACACGTGGCATGACTCTGCCTAAGGTCCGTTTAGAGGAGATGGCCTGGTATGTTTTACATTTGCTAAGCTATTTAACTGCCTGGTTTGACAAGATTTTTGAAAGGGGTGAAAATTAATTTAATTGCAGTATTGCAACAATAATTTGGTTGGCTAGCTGCATTTCAGTGCAAAAACAGGAAAGGAAGAATTTCCTCCTTAGGTTATTCTCTGATGTGGCAGCATTCATTTCAAGAGTAATGAGATTTTTAAAAAGTCAAACCTTAAATATCATGGTTTCAGCAATCTGTCCTGCTTAAAGTTTAATGCAAAATGAGATAGCATCTCTGTGAGAGCAGTTCCACATGAATGTGGACCCAGTTTTCTCCTAGACTTGAGATGGGAAAATCTCTCTCCCCTGAAAACGCCTCCGAGTATCTTCTTGACATTGTTTGCAGATGCTTTTGATTTGGCAGCACCAACGTTGACGTGTCTGTACCGAGGGAGGCACTACCAAGAATGGTGGAAAGTTTTGAAAATGTATGAGGTATACTGATGCAAGAGGCACCACAAGTTTCAGAGGATTGAGCAAAAATGGTCGAGTGAGGAACATAGGCTGTCATGGGATTTTCTGGATCTCACTATTTTCACGCTGGCCATTCTGAATATATACACTACCCATGGTATTTTTTTTTTTTTTTTGCGGTACGCGGGCCTCTCACTGTTGTGGCCTCTCCCGTTGCAGAGCACAGGCTCCGGATGCGCAGGCTCAGCGGCCACGCCTCACGGGCCCAGGCGCTCCGCGGCATGTGGGATCCTCCCGGACCGGGGCACGAACCCTCCAGATCAGCAGTGAGCACTTCACGATTTACAAACTTTGAGGGACAGAGTCCATTTACTGTTTCAAAATCTTGAAGACACTGTCCCAAGGCCTGATTCAGGGTAGTTCGGTCAGGTGCCGGGACCAACAGACATTCAGCTCTCCTGATAGCTCAAGCTCAGTTCCATGGGCAGTTTTAGGACACTCTGCTCTATCCCTTTTCTGTCACGCTTTAAGTCCGTCACCATTTGCGTGTCTAAAAAGGATTTTGCTCTGATGTGCTTTCTCAAATACCACTCATCAAGTGGGTCTAAGAGCATGGCTTGGAATGTTTCCTATGATCCTTGTCCAAGTTCTGATTTATAGAGGATCAATATACCGATCTACCCAGGGCTGCCCTCAAGTTTCTACAGGTCTTGTCCTGCACAAGGTCACCTGGTGGAGGGGTGAGAAGGCTGCAATCCCACCCTGCTCCACTCACCGGCCAAGACGCCCGTCCAGGCTGCATCCCGAGGACGGTGTGCCTTTTCTGATTTGCATTTGGGCCAAGGGAGGCCCTGAGTGGCCCTTGATCTTCCCCCTCCCAGAGATCACAAAGTCTAGTATTCATCTCCTCCCTTACAACTCTACGGACGTTTTTTAAGGAAGAGGACATGCCCACGGCAAAGGCAAATTCATTTTGAAGATATGTTTCCTATTCAGTGAGAGAGGAAGGAAAAAAGAGACAGGGAGAGACAGAAGGGAAAAGGATCAAAAGAAGAATGGAGACAAGGCTGCCCTTCTGCCTAGTAAATTGTGGATTCATTGTCCGTCCCTGGACACAGCTGCAAAAGGGTAGAAATCAATTTTTTTCTATTACTCCACAGTGAGAAAGGAAAACCTATTTGTAAATTGAATTAAACCCAATAATAGCATGTCTGTGTACATGCTATTATTATTAAAATTAGCCACACATACAACTATATAATCCCACGATGTAACTAGAAATCAACACTCTCCCATTTCAAAGCTTAGTAGAGACATCTTTCTTCTTTTTTAAAGAAACACCATGGCTAAATGTCACTAAGCTCTCCGGCATGCCAATACATCGACACCTCAGTAATGACTCTGGAAGGGAAGGAACTCCAAAGCCCCATCTGGGAAGAACGTGCTTCCAAATTCTTGACTTTGCTGCTGGTGCACCTCAGTCAGTCAGTAATGATTGGATATGAACTAGAACCTTCTAGAAGACGGTTTCTTCCCAAGTTGCAATCTGTGGTGCTGACTGTGGAATAAATTCCCTGTGTCTGTGTAGGCTAGGTCTTGTTCACAGAAACCCTAATCCATCCACTGGGTATTGAGTATCAGGCTGCTGAAGTGAGGGTCCGGAAAATACATTAGCAGTCTGCCCTCTAGTGGGGCAACACAGTACTTCAGATAACTAGGAATAGAAAAGATTTTTTTTCCTTCTCTTTCAGAGAGCAAAAGAATTCAAGTTTTCCAGATAGTGCAAGGTGAGGCATTTATCCTCAGAAGACAGCTTCCAGAGCTGAATTAAGCAAGGCTCACAATGATAGGGTCCCCAAGTCAGAGCTAAAGACAGGTAGTGCTGCGGTGGGCGTCCCCGCAGAGCCTGCAGGGACAAAGGTTCTTCTCACATCCTTGGACGTCTCCAGCGTCTTCCTTGGGTGATAGCATTCAGTTCCCCACACTCTCATTATAAAAGCAGTACCCACCCTAAGAGCAACCAACCTACCAGAAATGTTAAAAATAACAGGCTTCTTTGTAATTTTTTGGCAAATCATTAACACAGAAGAACCTTTCAAAAGGACCATGTTGAATTTTCTAAAAGGTCAAGATGCGCGAGTTTTATAAAAAGACCAAGTCTTTGTGGCTGTTCTTTTTCAGGAGAGAATCTTTGTGATGGTGGCAAATGTTGGTAAGGCAGAAGATGATCTGGAGATCTGTTGTCTGGATTTTGCTTCTATCTTTTAAACACCTTCAGAACTTGGCTTGCTTCAGTTTATCGATATGGTAGCAGAGTTTCAGTGCAGGTCCCAGCTTTAGGCCCAAGTATTTCATGATCATGTCACTCTTCAGCAACAGGAGGGCATTGCCATCAATCTCCTGGTGGAACAGAATCAGAAAAAAGAAAACCCAGAAAGTGGTCAAAGTAATCAAATAGTGGCCACAGTTAGAGTATGGTCAGGGAGTAAAGTAAGGGAATACGGATTTACTTAGATGCATATTCTTTTAGTCCCAAGGCAAGACCTTAAGAAAATAAACGAAAGCCTACAAATACTATGTGCTCCTCTTCCCATATTCTCCCTGGGGTCATATGATACACTGGATCTTTCATATTCCTGCTCTCTCCTGATTGAAGGAATCTAACATAGTCCCAGCCATACTCCCAATATCCCACATACATTTATCTCTTCATCCAATCTAGGGCTAAACAAGCAAGAAGTGTTCAATGGACTGAATGTGCCCCCCCTACCCTCTCCCCAAATTCATATGCTGAAATCCTAACCTCCAAGTGGTGGTAGTTGGAGGTGAGACTTTGGGAAGTAATTAGGTCATGAGGGTGGAGCCCTCGTGAATGGGATTAGTGTCCTCATGCAATGGGAAGATGGCAGTCCGAAACCTGGAAGAAGGGTCTCACCAAAAGCAGACCTTGATGGCAACCTGATCTTGGACTTCCAGCATCCAGAACTGAGAAATAAATCGCTGTTGTTCCTAAGCCAGCCAGTCCGTGGTACTTTGTTACAGCAGCCTGGACTGACTAAGGCAAAGTATCATCCCATTAGACCCTGAAACTAGTAGTTACCTTTCCATTCCAGGTGCTGGTATAAGGCCCTGACTTCCATCCATCATCCTAATCTCTGGTTTCTTTCCGTGGGACACTCACCTGCCTTTTGCTGATTACCAAATTGCTAACAACACTCTATAAGGGATTTCAGGTGTTTTTTTGGCCCTGTCAATAATACTAGGTGGCATACAACTAAATAATGCACCTGCTTCATCTGAGGGTTTAGCACAAATAATTACTAAGGGAATGCCAATCCTCTGAGGTCCTGATATTGCTCCCATTTGTCTCTGAAAATGGTAACCCTCCAGACTGCATGTTGAACTGCAATGAAGACCCAGTGCAGCCAAAACAATACATACATAAAATAAATAAGTTCAAAAAATAAATGAATAAAAATTTAAAAAAAGAACACCTAATGCAGGTGGGAAGGTGGGAGGGACACTGTAAAGGTCATCTATGCTACATGTACAAGAACCCCGAGAGCATACCAACAGGTACCACATTTTTCACTGCTGTAGCCGATCATTCCCCCTGTACTACCACACTGTATCACTCCTTAGTAAGGCTGGGTTTCCTCCTTCACCTATAGTGCTATTTTCAGATTACTAGAGACAAAGGGTAGAGATTTTGGGTGCTCAGGTGGGGAGAAGAGGCACAGTACAGGACTCATAGAGCAGCCCCTCTCATTCCTCTATCCAGCCAGCCACTCAGCCAGCACTGATGGAGCACCTACCCTGCGTCACTCAGAGCTCATCTGCGGGCCCTCCCAGGGGCCTCACTGCCGAATGTTCTCTCTTTCCCCCACTTCCTAGACTTCCACTGCCTCCTGTCATGCTGGAAGGAAGCCAGAGTCCTCCCACCCAGATCTGTCTAAACATAACCCCTCTGTGGTCCTTGCTACGTCCTAATCCCTGAAACCTGTGACTATGTTAGGTTACCTGGCAAAGGGGAATTAAGGCTGCAGATGGAATTAAGGGTCTTAGTCAGCTGCCTTTAAAATAGGAAGCGTATCCTGAATTATTGGGGAGGGAGGAGACAGTGCAATCACAGGGCCCTTCAAAGTGGAAGAAGAAATCAGAAGAAAAAACCAAAGAGTTGGCAGCCTGGGAAGGACTCAGCTTGATGTTGTTGGCTCTGAGGATGGGGACAGCGAGGTAGGAGCCAAGAATGAGGGCGGATCTCAGTGCTGAAAAGGGAAGGAAATGAGTTCTCCCTAGAGCATCCAGAAAGAATGTCAGCCCCACCGACACCTTGGTCTTAGCCCGGTGAGACCCCTGTCAGACTCCTGACCCACTGAACTGTAAGATAATAAACTTGTGTGGTTTTAAGCTACTACGTTTGTGGTGACAGGTTATAGCAACAGTCGATAACTGACATAGGAAGCTTGGCAGGTAAAGTACTAATTCTTACCTTTTTAAAAAAAAGTACCATCCTTATATATTTTAGAATCTCCTAAATAATTATGCGAATATGTAGATGGCCTGCTAACCAAAGGTCATCTACGAGCCAGGCGCTGTGCTGAACACTTTATGTGCATTTTCTCATTTAATCCTCAAAGCAGCTTAGGAATAGGCACTGTCTGTTGGCATATTGTAGGTGTGCTATAAATGTTTGTTTATGCACAGACGGACGCACAGACAGACGGATGGATGGGCAGGAAAACAGGCACTCCTGATAAAGGCCAAAGTGAGGGAACGGATGGGACAAACAAAACTAGGTGGTTGTTCCGCTCTGAGAACCCTGTGGTTCCGTCTGGCCTCCCTTGAGTGGTGCGCCCGGGCATAGTGCAGAGCCCCCCGCAGCCCCCTGACCGTCCCCAGGCCCACCACTGTGCGTACATGCTTCCGGAAGAGCTCCACATGGGGCCCCAGAGCCTGCGGGTCTGCATCTTTCACGAACCAGACCACATCCTCCACGGACCAGGTAGAGGGGTTCCTGCTCCTTGGCCGCCGGGTGTCCTGCCTGTCCGGAGAAGGGCTTGAGGCTGGAAGGTAGAGCACAGAGAGGGAGGCCATGAGACAGCAGGCCTCGGGCCTTGGCACCTACCTGGTGCCTCCTGTCCCCACCTGGCCCTCGAGTCCAAGGCGGCGGCCCGAGTGACCTCCTGCGACAGAGAAAGGCCAGAAGTGCCTGCTCTTGGCAGGAGCCTGGAGCACCGGAGGCCACTCCTAAGGGCAGCAGCCTCCCCCTCTACACAGAGGTTCTCTGCTCTCCCAGGGAATAGAGCATTGGAAAACAGATCTCCTCCAGCAGGTTGAAATGCTGACCCATGTTAGAGTTTTAAAGACCCCTCCTGATCAGTCCTGTCTCAGTGGGCCCTGGGCCTGCTGTAACCAGGTTCCATGAAGCTCCAAATAGACCTCTGTAGTGCTGTGATGCCAAAACGACTTCAGGTCCTTTCCGCCTCCACTGGTGTCACCCTGAGACAAGAAGGACACAGCAGAATGGAGGGGCATTTTGTGCTTGTCCTGGGTCTCTGGTGCCACAATCTCAGAAGCCCTGTCTGTGAGAGGTCCATGCCCTGCTCTGCATGTGCAGAAAGAAGACTCACCGCCTACACTGAGCACCTCGCCAACCCTCAGGTCTGTCAGAGCACGCACTCCAACCTCCCACTAGACGAGGGATTCCTTGACAACAGGAGCCTAAGCCTGTGCCTTGTCCACAGCTGGTCCCTGGTCAGTGATTGTGGCATGAGTTGCATTGCTGCATAAATGCTTTTCCCACATGGCAGATTAAAAGGTGCAGGACATATGAAGGAGGAGAGAGTAGTGAATCAATATTTAGGCAATATTTAGGGGGTGACTTGTTTTATACGTCCCAAACGAATTCATCCTCTTTCCCTAGAACCAGCATCCCCTCCTATCTCTCATGTTTCTGAAACCTCAGTGATATCTCTACCTCCTGTCCCTTATTTGCTCCCAGCATTTAATTATTCTGAAGCTATTAGAAGGATGCCTCTCACACTGGTCTCCTCTCTTCCATCCCTGCTGCCCCAATCCGGGAACTTCTTACCTGACCCTCTACAAAGGTTTTCTAGCAGATGTCCTCATCTCACGCTTTATTCCTTCTAGAGCAAAAACTGTCACGTCTTCACACTCTCCCTAGTGCCCCTTGTGGATGCCCCTCGCCCATGCACCAAGTCCGTACTCTAGCACAAGATCAAGGGCTTTCTTTGGTCTCAATAACATCTTTCCTGCCTGGATAGAGAGGAAGAGCTTTGGTGCCAGAGAAACCTAGGGACAAATTCTGGAGCTGCCCGTCGCTAGCTGTAAAATGGCAATGCTCTCCACCTGGAAGGGCAGCTGTGAGGATGCAAGTGGGATTGGGGGCTGGCCTTATGGCTGACCTGCATCAGGTGGTCCACAGAGGGAAGGAGGTACCCTGCCTGCCTCCCTGCCCACCTCCCTGCCCGCCTCCCTGCCCTTCTGCACACTCCCATCTGGGCATACTGGTTCTGACCGAAAGTTCCTCCAGCTTCCAGTCTCCACCTTAGCTAGTGCTTTTGCTTCTCTCTAGAAGGTGTTTACCTCCCCTCCTTTCCAAAGAAGCTCTACCAGCCATCAAAGCCCAGGTAGACCCCTTCACAGACAGCATTTCCGTGTCCTGCCATCTGGATGTCATCTTCCTCTACCTTTAACTCCCAAATCTTTGTTTGCGCTTTTCTTAAAGATGCTTTCCACATCTGCCTTGTATTACCATTATGCATGTGCTTGCCTGTAACCTCCAGTTAGTTTTAATTTCTCGAGGATGATCTTTTGCATCTTCCCCCTGTTCGTCCACGGACATCTACTGAGTGTCTCTTGTGTACCAGGTCCTGGGCAAAGTGTTTGGTGAAAAATGGGATCCTCTCATTACAGAGTTTACAATCATTGACTCTCCACAGCTCCATGCAAATATATTTGTAATATGGGTTCAATGAATGTAAAATGAATCAATATAGTTCGCAGAAACAGTATAAGTAACTTACACAAAAGCTTTGTGCGAGTAATCCTTAATCCTATTTTCAGGCTCTGAACAATGAAGCAGCTTCCCTACAGAATAAATCTAAGTTAGAAGTTGGGAAGCCTTCACTTCCATTTCCCTTCTTTAATCTCAGGGTGCAGTGGTTTTCTGCTGTCTCCTTTTTTCCTCCTCTTTTCAATGTACTTGAGAAGTGCACGGTTCTCCAGTAGTGCTGAGAAAAGTACAGCATCACATTTGAAGTCTGTCCTAAATACATAATAGTTTGGTTGAGAATTGGATTTACTTTGAGATTTTCCCTGCCTTTTCCTTGTTGGACCTGGAAGGGTCCCCTAAGGTGATTTGGCAAGGGCTGGGGCGGTGCATTTTGGCGGGAAACTGTTAATACACCCTAGGGCCATCTGAATGCCGACACATGCTTATTAGAGATGATTTCACTGCATTTAAAGACATCTGCACTCAACATGGGGAAGAGGAACCACGGAAGTCGCATTTGCCTTTGGAGCCTGCCCCATCGGAGCGTCGGCGATGATCAGGGTGATAATAGATGCTCTGATTACAAAGGCGGGAAGTCTTCAGTGCCAAGAATGATTTTAGAGTGATCAGAGCAGAGGTCAAATCTAATTTCCTGTGTTTGACAGGAAGGAAAACCACCAGACCGACTCACAACATCATCCATGGGAGCCTAAGGTCCTTTGAGCAAAAGGCCAGGGAAATACTTTCCCCATGAGCCACAGCCATGGAGTTGAGCAAGGTGGTCTGGCTTGTCTTTATGGGGAGGCTCTCCAGGTGATGAATGTGGAGGGGAAGTGGCTCCGCTCCTGGCACCTGGTACTAGCTGTGGGCATTGTCAGTTTTGCTCTCTGAGGTGCTTCACAGTCATACAAGACAGCAGCAGGAAGCTGTCACACCTCGGGACCTGCACAGGATCCAAAGCACATGAATTAGCTCTAGGAGGAAGAGAGGGAACTTTCTAGCAGGTTGGAAGAGCCTTTGCAATGGCCTGTGCTCACACAAAGATAATAAGCACACTAGCCCCTCCAGCTGCTGCGAAGATGTCAGGAAGACAGATGGGTCTGGCCTGACACAGCCAGGCCAGGCAGATGTGACTGGACAGCAGCCAGACATGATAGAGGTGAAAATATCTTGCTCCTAAAGGAACAGAGCACGCAAAGCGCTTGCCAACCGCCTTTATGGGAGGTGGCATTCTCCAGCGCCAAGAACTTCATACGTGGTCGGGTCTGTTCCCTGGGCGATGCGGGAGACGTGTGTATAGTAAAACCCAGCTGTGAATGGATGTAGAATGAAGGATGGTGGTGGCTGTTTCTAACGCTGAACTCACATCCACCAGGAATAGACTGACTGTGAATCTGTCTAAAGCAACCCCGGATATCTTCACAGCCCCGGTACTCGTGCTGCTGCCTGTGAGTCGCTCTCTGTCTCACACAGACCTACAAGCACATGCATAATTTCCTTTTGTTCATTCATAATTCAGAGGAAACTTTTTAGCTAACAATAGAGTCATGTGGAAGAATGGAAGGAACAATGAGCTGGGAGTTAGAAGATCTTACCACCCACCCTCTGTGCAAGCGTCTCTGTGCTTCTTTGGTGTGAAATAAGGAGTTAGGAAGGATCTCCAAGGTCCCTTCACACCACAGGTTGTCCCGGGCAACACGAGGGGCTCCTTTCTCACACATCTGAAGCCTCATCACTGTGTCTGTGTGCAAAGCACAGTGAATGCAGAGCCAATGGCCAGGTTTTGAGCCCCTTCCTGGACCTGATCATTCTATTCTCTATGAGCCTCCGTTTCTTCATCTTGTTTCTCAAAAGTATTGTAGGAGTCAAGTGACTATATGGCTTTGGGCTGGAGCCTGACAAGAAGCATCTTGGAAGGAAGCCCATCAGTCTCCAAAAGGGGCCCCTCAGAATCATTTGTGAACATTTGTTAACGTTTGCCTCTCTGGAATTGGACGCTGTCAGCGAGGAGGGCCCACATCTGTCTTGCTCACAGCTCCATCCTTGGACCTCAGAAGAGGCCCTGGCATATTGTGCTCCATAAGTATCTTCTGGCCAGGACTGACCAACATCTCTTTGAGTCTTAGTTGCCTTACCTGTCAAACACCTACCATGTTGTGAGGATTAAATAGGATAATGTGAAGCATTAAATTGTAAGAATTAATCAAAAGATAGTTGCTATTCTTATTATTATGTATCATTCCATAATGGCCAATAGATTTGTCTTCCTAAATTCTGTGGTCATCAGCTCACTTCCCTGTTCAGCCATGTCTGGTTTCCACAGAGTAAAGAAAGCCCAGTCTGCTTGACTTGAACCCCAAATTTCCCAGCATGATTTCCCTTGGCGTCCCTGCACAAACTCTTCTCTTTCCTTGGAATGAATAAGCCGTGCCGCACCTTCACTCATTCCCCGCCCCCCACATCGAGCGCTGTCCCCATTCTTCTTTCTCTTGCTGAATTGTTCTCTATCCGTCACGCAAGACCATACCCTATGGAATCAAACTCCAACCCATGGAAAGCATATAAGTGGTAATAACAATGTCAGAGTCACTTCAATTCTGAAGCTTGGACATACTTGTGGTTGGGAATGCTACAGCATCTCCTGTTAATGCAAATGTCAGGGAGTTTTTGTTATCTAAAACCTCTTTTTTTTTTAATTTTTATTATTTTTTTTTGCGGTATGCAGGCCTCTCACTGTTGTGGCCTCTCCCATTGCGGAGCACAGGCTCTGGACGCGCAGGCTCAGCGGCCATGGCTCATGGGCCCAGCCGCTCCGCGGCATGTGGGATCTTCCCGGACCGGGGCACGAACCCACATCCCCGGCATCGGCAGGCAGACTCTCAACCACTGCGCCACCAGGGAAGCCCTAAAACCTCTTTATAGTTCTTAGTGATTATATCTTGGATGAGAGACAGAGGAGAGCTCTCAGATTTTCACCTGAGGATCAGCAAAAAACAGGGAAACGTGTCCTTTGAATACATCCCTTCAGAGTCCACTGACAGAGGCAATGGGCATGATGTATCAAGACAGCAGGAGGAATTACAAACAGTGCTGCAAAAAATTTCCTTGCACATGTCTCTGAGGAAGTTTTTATAGGTTATGTTCCTAGAAGTATTATTGGGTCATAGGACATGGAACATATTTAATGGCATATATACAGTAATTTGGGTAGCATTAGCACCATCATGATATTGGGTCAATTGATGGGTATAATTTAACTATTGATTTATTCATTTTTATGTCCTTTAATAATATTTTATAATTTTTTAAATAAAAGAGTTGCACATTAAAAAAAAAAAAAAAAAAGACAACAGGAGGCCAGGGTAGGTATTCACATGAGAGAGAGGACTGAGAAGTTTGTCACGTCATCGATACCTACTGTCCTGTGCGGCCTCATGCCACTTTCTGGCTTCTGCGGTTTTAAACCATTCTGATTAGCACCATGGGGGAGAATCCATTTCTATGTCCCTTCCAGGTTTATGACTTAGGTCAAACCCCCTTAAAGAGATATGGTTTCTTAATACCAACTGCTTTCACTTGGGATGCAATTTCAGAGCAATACTGAGCACTTCTTTGGGTGGAGGGAAAACTTAACAGCCCTCCAGAGGGCCTGCAGCCGGCACCTGGACTGGCAGCTAGGTGACAAATGGGTAAGGAGGCCAGGGGTTTTCTCTCCTACTTTAATATACTGCCACTCAATTCAGCATGGTTTATCTCCATGGTTTCCAAATGCGTTTAGCTGTGCAAACTTTGTTCACACTGCACAAATGTAGAACCCCACTCTTCAAATGTGAAGAGGTCCTGGTTAAAGAGGGCAGCGTTGGAGTACCATCTGCTCCCATCCCCTCTCTCCTATGCCCTAGAACCTCTGAGGGACCCCTTGAAGCCCATTTTGCATGGTTTGAAAATCCCTGGGTTAATTTTGAAAGCCACCTTTGGAGTTAGTTGAAGTCAAATCCTGACTAAACACTTGACTGATTTGATCTTCAATTGCTGTATATGTAAACTGAATATAATAATACCTACAATAATAATATATACTTGCTATAATCATAAATTATAAGATATAACTTATAATAAGTCAGAAATATTGTGTGGAAAGTGTCTGGCCCACAGTAGGTGCTCAATAAATAGCTATTTAGGATATGCCTCAAACAGGCCCCTTACCTGGGGCTGCAGAGGATTCAAATATGAGTGAGAGACCTCATGAAGCTGAGAGTCTGGCTCCTACTATGGGACAAGAGAGAGGAAGTACTAGAGATGAGGAGACAAAGTGCCACAGGAGGAAACAGGAGGGAAGGAACATTTCTAATCAGCAGTGACTGAAACTGCCAGTTGCCGACCCAATCTTTTTTCCACTTCCGCTTACATCTTCCTGGCCACGGTCAGTGGCTTGCTTGGAGCGGAAGGCAGCAGGCGCTGGTGGGCTCCATTTCTCTGGTCCCACCCAAGATCCTGAGAGGCAGAAGTCCTGAGCTAGTGGGGCTCTCCTGGGGTGCATCTAGGGCTCTGACAGAGAGGGCTCTCTCAGAGCTTGTTCTGAGCAAGGGTCTGGGCTTCCCTTTGGCTAGATTACTCAGACAGTAGATGAGGACGTAATTCCAGGAGAACAAAGGGCTGAAGCAGAGATGAAAAGGAAGGACAGGGGGGCTGTTGGAGTTGGGATGGGAGTTCGTCCCAGGACTCTGTTGGAGGAGGCAGAAAGAGAAAGGGGGAGGGAGCTAAATACCTGAGACCCCTTTGAAGGGTCCTGGATTCCCCTCATCTGGGCCACCAGATGGGCTGGGATGGGGCAGACAACTCTTCAGTGATGGAGTGGTAGAAGTTCTCTCCATTCAAATCGTGCCTTCCCCTTACTGCTTGAAATCCTACACTTAAGACATAGGGTCTAAGATTTCACCAACTTAAATAGGAGAGTAAATATCTCCTTTTTAAAGGATGGCAATACTCTTAGGTTTATGAGTCCATTCAATCAGCCTGGTGTCCTGTGATCACCACCTCGAGCAGCTGGGAATTGCACTGAGGAGAAGAGGCTGAGAGAAGGAGATGTGTGATGGGCAGAGGGACCCCAGAATGAGGGCTTTGACAAGCAGAGGCAATGTGAGGGCACTGGGCTCCATGGGGGGAGTGGAATGGGGTAGAGAGAAAGAATGTTTCCTGAATGCCTACTATATGTCTGATATTACACTAACTCTGGGGATAAACCTAGGAAATAACTGTTCCCCTCATTTACTTTATGATGCGGGTTTGTGCCAGATTTTGTTCCCTTCTCTTGTTCTTAGAAATCAGATGCAACAACGTCTCTCCCCTTTGGAAAATGGGCTCTGCCCACTCAAACCTGCCTGGCCGACAGCCCTGCATGACAATGTTGGGGAGCAGGGCCATCCATGTTTGGCAAGAGCCCCCATGGCTGAGGGAACAGTGCCTTGCCCCTCAAAACTGCCTCCCCTCCTCGGTCCACAGAGGCTCATCTGTGATGGTGAGGCTCTTTGAGGGGAGTGTGCGGAGGATCTGGGATCATACGCAATAGCTCACCACTGTGGCTCTCAGGGCTACCAGTGGACGAGCCAAGGCTCAGAACAGAAATGCCAGAGAAGACAGCCAGCCCTCAGGAGGCACCAGAGGGGCAAGATAAAGACTCCCTGACTCCCGGGCCTCTGGCCTCCTTTCCTTAGAGTTCTCAGGTGTAGAGTTGATGGGCTGTGATCTGTTGAGGGGTGTGTTCACGTGATCTGTCATTGCTGATGTTTATCGAGCTCTTACTAACTCTTAGGCCTTGTACTAAATACACATATGAATTTATTTAATCCTCCCAACAAACCTATGAAGTAGGTGCTATTATTATGATTCTAATTTCACAGGTGAGGAAACTGAGGCACAAAGAAGTTCAGACTTGCAAAAGGTCACACAGTCAGAAAATGGCAGATCCAGGATTCCAGCCCAGGCCATCGGACTCCATAGTCCATGTGATTATCCACTATGCTCTATTCATACTCAAATACTGAATTGAAAATGATTTTTTTTAATAACATAAATCAAAATGGACATCAAGCTACCCCTAGAATGACAGTACCTTCCTACACTGCATTCCAATAAGCTAACTTGAATGGGTGAGACAGAAGTAGCATCATAACCAGTATTGTGGGGGGCCTTTCCTAGTGGTCCAGTGGGTAAGACTCTGGGCTCCCAACACAGGGGGCCTGGGTTCGATCCCTGGTTGGGGAACTAGATCCCACATGCATGCCACAAACTAAGAGTTCACATGCCACAACTAAGACCCGGTGCAGCCTAAATAAATAAATAAATGGAAAACCAAACCAAAACAAAAAAACTTACGGGACAAAAAAAATAAATAAATAACCAGCATTGTGGGAATTTTACTTAACTCTGGTCTGCCTATGTGTTTGTACCCTGCAAGAGTCAACCACTGTGCAAGAGAAAAGTCTTTAGCAACCTCTGGTTCTTCTTCTTCCGGGTACAGAGTTAGTCTACACCTCTCAGATTCCTCCAGAGTTAAGTGTGGTAAAATGGCCAGCTCTTGCCAATGAAACGTGAGTAGAAGTGATGGGCATCACTTCCAGGCTCTGGGGAAACATGTTCATCTTCCTCGTTTGTTCCTTCCGTTTCTACCACTAGATGTGTGGGGCATGGGGGCCATAGGGGACAGGAGAGCCATGAAATGGACAGATCCTGGATCCCTGAGTTGGGATACACACACCAACTAGGAACACCCACTTTGGACTCCTGGATAAAAAACTTCTATTGTATTTGAGCCACTGTACATTTTGGATTCTACTTATTCCTACAGCCTAACTTACTCTAATACACCATTTTCTTTGCTTATGGTCAAAGGTTGAAGTCAGCTGCCCTCAAGAACAACAAAAATCCATGAAGGGATTTGTGGAAACTTCTACTTTCCCAGTGTTGCTGTGTTCAAACCGCCACGGTCCCCCGGTCTCCCTACATTTGGTGGTCCCAGGGCGAGGGCAGAGGAGGTTAGGTCATGGGGAAGCCAGTGCACGCATTACATTACCACATCTGTTTCCTTCAAGAGAGGTCCCGTTTCTCTTGGGGCTGGAGCCAGGGGGCCTCAGCCCAGGTGCTGAGGGGCCTCCAGAAGACATGGGGCTGGTATGGGGACCACCGACTGTGGTGGCTGAGCCTCCCCCAAGGTGGCCGTCTCCAGAGTTCTGCCTCTTGCAGTACAACGAAGAGGAGGTGGGCAGGGAGCCCCTGTGGCTAAAGGCGGAGGAGGAGTCCACGCTGTAGCGGCTCATGCTCGCAGGGTTCACCAGGCACTCCTCAGTGGTGACTGTTTTTGCTAAGCAAGAAGGCAGAGCAGAGAAGCAGAGATCAGAGAGCAGTTCATGAAGACACCTGGTGCTGGGTCTTGGAAAACCTTTCCCCAGCAGCACAGGTGCCGCTATCTGTGGGGATGGCAGATGAGAAGGAATGGATACCACGGCATAATCCCAAATAGTTCACCTCTCAGCAGATTGGCACCTCACCAACGAAGCATCTTTTAGTAGGGATTGGGACATGTGACCCTCCATGTTCTGAGGAAAATGTGATTATCTTGGTTATTGATGACTTGTAAATAAAATTCAAACAAAGGTCTTTCTCCCTCCATGGCTCTGCTCCTCCAGGAGTTTCCGCCAGCTTGTCAGAATCTCCCTGCTCCCTCTTTTCTTGCCCATCACCACTGCCTCCCGCACCTGGCCCATGATTCCTGGGAGAGATCAAGCCAGAGTTACAGTGTCCCAGAGTTAGGAGTAACAACTTTGGCCTGGGTTTTTTTTTTTTTTTAACATCTTTATTGGAGTATAGTTGCTTTACAATGGTGTGTTACTTTCTGCTTTATAACAAAGTGAATCAGCTATATGTATACATATATCCCCATATCTCCTCCCTCTTGCGTCTCCCTCCCACCCTCCCTATCCCACCCCTCTAGGTGGTCACAAAGCACTGAGTTGATGTCCCTGTGTGATGCAGCTGCTTCCCGAAGCTATCTATTTTACATTTGGTTGTGCGTACATGTCAATGCTACTCTCTCACTTCGTCCCCTTCCCCCTCCCCTTGTCCTCATGTCCATTATCTACGTCTGTGTCTTTATTCCTGTCCTGCCCCTAGGTTCATCAGAACCTTTTTTTATTTTAGATTCCATTTATATGTGTTAGCATCCAGTATTTGTTTTTCTCTTTCTGACTTACTTCACTCTGTATGACAGACTCTAGGTCCATCCACCTCACTACAAATAACTCAATTTCATTTCTTTTTATGGCTGAGTAATATTCCATTGTATATATGTGCCACATCTTCTTTATCCATTCATCTGTCGATGGATGCTTAGGTTGCTTCCATGTCCTGGCTATTGTAAATAGAGCTGCAACGAACATTGTGGT